CAAAATGTCTGATTCAAAAACTGGGTCCCCGGCTTCTGATCCAGGTTCCTGCTAATGTTCACTGTGGGAGGAAGCAGATGATGGGTCAAGTGTTTGGATCTCTGCCACCCATGTGGGAGAAATACATTGAGTCTTAGGCTCCTGGCTTCAACTTGGCTGAGCTCTGGCTGTGTGGGTATTTGGAGAATGAATAGTGGATGGATGGAAGATACTTCTCTGTCAGTCTGTCTCTTTATCTAACCCCCTTTTTCCCTTCCTCCTTCCCTCCCTTATCCTTCTCTCTGCTTTTCAAATCGAAAATAATTTTCAAAAGACCAGTTGGTTGGCTATAGATGCATAGATTCACTCATGATGTCTCTGTTCTGTTTCATTGGTCTGTGTGTCTGTTTTTGACAATACCATGCTGCTTTAATTACTGTAGCTTTGTTGTATATTTTATGCTCAGGTATCATGATACCTCCAGCTTTGTTCTTTTTGCTCAAGATTGTACTAGCTATTGAGGGTCTTTTGTGATTCTCTACAAATTTTGATAGTACTTTTGATTTCTGTGAAAGATATCACTGATTTTTTTTATAGGAATTTTTGTGTGGTGGGAGGCATTTAATGGGGGTTGGGGGTGTCTTCTGAGGTTATCGGGTGTTCCTGACATCTGTGTGCCCTCCCTTAGCAGTCAGTCAATGGCCAGACCCTCGCAGGCAGGAGCAGCCAGCTGGGCTGGGGCTCATGAACTTGGGTCCCTTGACAACAGTACAGGAAGCCAGGCACCAGGGCCTGAGCTGGTCCCAGTAACAGGCCAACAGGGATGGCCACAGCAGCTGGGTTGAGATGCCAGTGACCCCCAGAGACTTTCCCCGGGGCAGGACAGCCCCAGAGGTTACAAGCACGTCCCTCTGAGGCACCAGGGGGGTGACCGTGGACTGCCTGGGTCAAGATTGAATTTATAAGTCACTTTGGGTAGTGTGGACATCGTAATGGTACTGGTTCTTCCAGTCCATGAATGTGAGATGTCTTTCCATTTTTGGCCTCCTCTTCAATTTCTCGTATCAGTGTTTTATAGTTCTCAGTGAAGAGATCTTTCACCTCTTTGGTTAAATTTATTTCCAGATGTTTTTTGTTTGTTTTGTAGCTGTTTAAAATGGTTGGAGCTTCTTCCCATTCTGAAAGACGTTAGCTGTTTGCTTGACATAGGACCTTTATTTTGTTGCGGTATATCCTTCTAGTATCTAATGGGTTCAGCTTTTCTGTCGTGAAGAGATGTTGATTTTATGAAATAACTTCTGTGTGTGAGTTAAGATGGTCATGTTTTTACAGCCTTGGTTCTGTTGGTATGGTGTATCACATTTACAGATTGAAATGTGTTGAGTCATCCATGCATACCTGGGGTGAATCCCACTTGATTGTAGTGAATCATCTTTTTAATATACTCTTAGATTTAGTTTACTAGTATTTTGTTAAAGATTTATTTATTTGAACAACACAGAAAGAAAGATATTTTATCTGCTGGCTCATTACTCAAATGACTACAACAGCCAGGGGTGGACTAGGCCAAAGTCAGGAGCTCGGATTTTCATTCTGGTCTCCTACCTGGGTGGTAGGGGCCCAAGTTCTTGGGCCATCTTCCACTGCTTCTCCAGGCACATTAACAGGGACCTGGAGGAGCAGCTGAGACTTGAACCCAGTGGGACACCTGTGTTGTAGGCAGCAGCTTAACCTGTTGCACCACAGCTGAAGCCCCAGGATCCTTCTGTTTTATGAAAAGAATATTTACTTGGGAGGCAGAATGACAGAGGTAATGAAAGAGAAAGAGATCTTTGCTCTGCGGGTTCACTCTCCAAGTGGCCACAACAGCTGGGGGTGAGTCAGACCAAAGCCAGCAGCAAGAAACTCTGTCCTGGTCTCCTGCGTGGCTAGCAGGGAGCCAGACACTTAGGCCATGCTCCACTGTCTGCCCAGCCACACGAGCAGGAAGCTGGATCTGAGTTCAGCAGGGGCTTGAACCAGCGCTCCGGTTTGGGATGCTGGTATGGTATGCTGGCATTTGAATCAACGGGTTAACCCGCTATTCCACAGTACCAGCCCTCCTCCTACCTTTTTCATGTAGTCATTGGTTGCTGAAAACTTCCTTTGTGTTACTGATTTTATTGCATAAGTTTTTGGTACGTTTTTAAGTTTCTTAACTCTTTCTTCATCACTTGGTTGTTCAAGAATCAGTTGACTATCCATATATGCATATACTTGCCAAGTTTTTCTTGTTATTGGTTCCTAATTTTGTTGCTTTACGATCAGAAAAGATAGTTAATTTGACTTCAGTTTTTAAAACTTTATTGAGACTTGTTTTGCAGCTACCATAAGTGACATCTTCTGGAGAATGTTCATTTGCTGTTAAGAATGTGTGTTCTATATCTGTTGGATGGAATGTTCTGAAGGTGTCTCCTTGGTTCATTTGATCTAGGGTAGAATTTAACTCTGATATTTCTTTCCTTCCCCAACCCCCCGCCTCTTTCTGTAGTACTTGTCTGTCGCTGAAAGTAGACTGTTAGACCCCAAATACAATAATAGTAGCAAGCCATATTGCTTCTTTTAGGTCTATTCATATTTGTTTTATATATTGGGGTGCTTTGATAATGAAGTACATACATATTTTCAATTCTTGATCTGCTGAATATTCCTTTATGCATCTTGAATGGAACTCTTCATCATTATATAATGACCCTCTTTGTCTCTCTTCACTGCTGTTGATTTAAAATCTATTTCATTTGGTAATTCTGCTTTCTTTTGTGTTCCATTGGTATGGAATATCTTTTTTCAAAAAAGGTTTATTTCTAAGAGTCATAATGAGAGAGGGGTAGTGGAGAGAGAGAGAAAGATCTTTTATGCGTGGATTCACTCCCCTGATGGTCACAATGGCCAGTGCTGGGCCAGGTCAAAGCTAGGAGACTGATTCCTTTCTTTATTGCCTATCTCAGCATGTTAATGTAGTGGCTTTTTAGATGTGAATGGCTTACGTACCTTGTTGGCAATACTGGAGCATGCTGAACGTATCTGTAAAGTCACTGCTTATCCGTGAGTTTCTGCCTTCTGATGTGTTCTTCTTACTTATTATCATTTCCTCCTTTGAGTTGGAAGACTCTCTTCAGCAGGTCTGGTAGGACACTGCCAGTGGTGACGAATCTCAGCTTTTGTTTCCCTGAGAATGTCTTTATGTGAAGGGTAGCCTTGCTGGGTGCGACTCACTTGGCCAGCAGTGTTTCCATCAGTGATGGGAATGCCTGCCTCGTTCTCCTCCCTCCTAACTGTTGAGGTTCCTGCTGAGGATCCTCTATGTCTTGCATGCTTCCTTTCTCTTGAAGGTTTGAGCCTCTCCATTTTGTCTTTAAACTAGAGAGAGCCTGATTAAAATGTCTTGGAGTAGACCGGCTTGAGTTGAATTTGGCTACTTCTGACCTTGTGTTTAGATGGTTGTGTTTTTCTTTAGATTTGAGAAATTTTCTGTTACCACCCCCTTTGAGTATGCTTTCTTCTCCTGTGACGTCCTAAAGTCCCTCCTGACCTCCGTAAGTCCTTGAATCCCCAGAAGTGTTCTTAGGTCCCTTGGTTATGTTTCTCTTCTTTTTCTCCTCTGACTGTGTTTTCTACCAGGCTGTCATTGAACCCACTGGTTCTTTGTTCTGTTTGATCTCTTCTGCTGTTGGTCTGCTATACTGTGTTTTTAACTTTGCTTAGAGTATACTTTTCAGATTAAGAATTTTGGCAATTTTTTATTTTTAATTTTATTTATTTATTTTTAAAGATTTATTTATTTATTTGAGAGTCAGAGTTACACAGAGAAGGAGAGGGAGAGGGAGAGGTCTTCCTTCCACTGGTTCACTCCCCAGTTGGCTACAGTGGGCAGAGCTGCTCGATCTGAAGCCAGGAGCCAGGAGCTTCTTCGGGGTTCTCCCACGTAGGTGCAGGATCCCAAGAACATGGACTATCTTCCAGTGCTTTCCCAGGCCATAGCAGAGAGCTGGACTGGAAGTGGAGCAGCCAGGACTTGAACTGGCGCCCATGTGGGATGCCGACACTGCAGGTGGTGGCTTTACCCATTGTGCCACTGTGCTGGCCCCTGTGCCATTTTTTTAAGTCACTTTCAGCTCTATTACCTGGGTAGCATTCCCAGCTCCTGGCTTCAGCCTGAATCCAGGGCTGAGTTTTGCAGGCGTTTAGAGAGTAAGTAATCTAGTGGATGGGTGTGTGTGTGTGTGTGTGTGTGTGCGCGCACGCTTGCATGTATGTATCTATATTTATAAATAAATACATTTTTTAAAAGAGAAATTTCTCCTTTGTCTTCCAAAAAATATTTTGTTGCCAAAAATTTTGGGGGGCTGCCCTTGTGGCATAGTGGGTTAATGGGCTATCTGCAGTGCCAACATCCCATATGGGTACCAGGGTAACTCCAGGGTCGGCTACTCTGCTTCTCATGCAACTCCCTCTAATGCCTGGGAAAAGCAGCGGAAGAGGGGCCAAGTGCTTGGGCCTCTGTACCCGTGTGGGAGAGCAGGATGCAGTTCCAGGCTCATGACTTCGGTGCGGTCCAGGCCCTGCCGTTGTGGCATTTGTGGGGTGAACCAGCAGGGGGAAGATTGATCTCTCTCTCTGTCTCTGTCTCTGTTTATAGTTATCTAACTTTTTTGAAATCCGTGCATAGTTTTGTTATAAACACATTTCTATGAACTTTCTGAAGACTTGCCTTAAGTAAAGTAAGGCCAACCTATATCTTAAATAGAAATTCTATTGCTTGAAATATTGTTGTTTGAGTATTTAAGGTTAGAAATTACTTGGATGGAAAGGAATCTGGTTACTTTGCTCATTGAGTCGGTTATTCGGTATATATCAAGTAACTAGTTCAAGTATTCAAAAGCTTTTCTTTAAATTAGGAAAACTGGATGATGAGAATTTATACTTCCAAAAATTAATGTTTGAAGGTTTATACTGAAGATTTAACTATTCTCATCCCCCAGTGGAAACACTATATTCAATGTGACGGGAGCCCTGATCCTTCTGTATCGCAAGAATTGAACACTTTCATTACCTTGTGGGAAGAGGAAACAAATGAGACCTTTGAGCAAGTGATTGAGAAGAGTAAGCTGGTACTAAGTGTAAGTACCGCTGCATGATCCTGTCTCTATGTATTTGTTACCTATAGTCTGATTCTAAAATGAAAATCTGAATGTCTATTTGTCATATATATATGCACATATATATATATATATATACCTATATATACATATATATATATCAGGGGAAAAAGCCACTTCTGCAAAAGGAGATAAGTAAGTATGTTTTGCTCATGCTTAGCTGTCGTCTTCCAGTTAGTTTTAGAACTTGAAGGTTGTTATCCTGGCAAGAAACGATACTTTGGAGTTTGGTGTTTTGAGCCCCAACATCACAAGGCATCTGTCAAAGCTGGAGCTATTCAGATGCCAGTGGTTCATCAAACAGTGTTCTTGCCTCTGTCCACGCCGGTATAGGAACCTGGTGCTCTGCAGTGAGCATAGAGGCCGTGGGAAGTAGCACTGGAGTTCACAAGTATTACATGAGAGACACACAAAGAGGTTGAAATAGAAATGAAATCAAGTTGCATTTGGGAATAGCATTGCAATGGATAATAAGAGTCTCAGAGTGAACTACAGTTGTATTCAGAGAGACTGTGGTGTGAGGAACTTTTGAAAGGCAAAATCGGGAGGCATGTACAAGATATTTTGAAACCACCGTCTTTGCCCACATTGATGAATACCAGTCAGAGACTGCATAGAGAGGTTCGGCAGATGTTCTTGTAGAACGACTTGGTGTATAAAGTTGGGATGACCTTTGGGTAGAGTTAGGCTTCTGGCGGGCTTTGATCAGAAGAGACTCTCGGGCAATCATGCCCAAGAAATCTTTCTTTATAACCTCCAAGCTTTATTTTTTGTTAGGGTTGACCTAACCATTGATGAACTGAAAATGTGAAATATAGAACAATAGGGAAAATGGGAAAAGAATCAAGAGGCAAAAGGTGAAAGTCATCAGAGCAACAGGAAACTAAAGCAGGAAGCCACAAGAGGAGCAGCAAGAGTTGGATAGCTGTAACAGAAGGAAATGGTCCCATACTAATTTCAGAGCTTTCAATTTCATTTAGCAAACGCACATGGCACTTACTCTATGCAAGCCTTTGGAAATGTTTACTTTCTTTTTTTTAAATTTATTTATTTACTTTAAAGAGTTAGAGAAGGAGAGGCAGAGAGAGAGAGAGAGGTCTTCCATCCACTGGTTCACTCTCCAATTTGCCACAATGGCTGGAGCTGTGCCGATCCGAAGCCAGGAGCCAGGGGCCAGGGGCTTCTTCTGGGCCTTCCACACGGGTGCAGGGGCCCAAGGACTTGGGTCATCTTCTGCTTTCCCAGGCCATAGCAGAGAGCTGAATCAAAGGTGGAGCAGCTGGGACTTGAACTGGCGCTCATATGGGATGCCAGCTCAGCAGGCAGTGGCTTTACCCACTGTGCCACGATGCCAGCCCCTGGAAATGTTAACTTCCCTAGTTCTCATAATTACATTGTGGGGTAGGCACTGTTGACTGTCAGTTTACAGATGTGGGAGGTGAGGCACAGATGATAGTGCCACTAAGGGGTGGGTAGTGATTCTTGCTTCAGTTAATGTGACTCTGCCATCTTCTGCCGCCCCCCAGGCTCATTCACAGGGAGCTGGATCTGAGGTGGAGCCGACAGGACTGGAACCTGTGCTTATATGAGATTCCAGTGTCACGGGCAGTGGCTTAACCTGCTGTACCACGATGTCAGACCCCATATACTGCCTCTCTTAATATTGACAGTTTTCTATATATTATCTAGAATTTAAGTGTTCAAAATTAAATTCCGCCAGTTACTAGTTGTCCTTTAAGTATGTCATGCCTCACTTTCCTTATTCATACCATAGGCAGAACAGTAGTATCTCTCTCACAGTTACAGCAATGCCAAATTCAAACATGAGTATTTACAGCAGTCCCTAGAGCCTAATAAGGACCGGATAAGCATCAGTAGTGTCAGTAGTTCCCCTCTTCTTTCCCGCTTGCTATGCTTTAGAAATGCTTTGTCCCCAGAGGTTCATGTGCTAGAAGCTTGGTGCCCCCTGTGGCAATATTGCGGTGGTGTAACCTCAAGAAGTGGAGGCCTGGGGAAGGTTACTGGGTGATGGGGCTCAACCCTCATGTGTGGATTAATGCTGCCCTGCAGATTGGGTCAGGTACTGTGGGTTAGTTCCCTCAAGGGTGGTTTGTTAGCAGCAACCCTGGTACCTTCCATGAATCCCTTTTCTGCAAGTAACACTGACACATTCTCAGGCTGCTGCGATGCCATGGGCCACGAGGGCCTCACCAGAGACAAGCAGATGCCAGTGTTGCAGACCTGTGTCTCCAGGAATATGATCTAAGTAAACTTGTCATCATAAAGTGTTCAGTCTCCGATGTTCTGTTACAGTCACAGAAAACAGAGCAAGACCTTCCTTTTCCACAGAATTAAGTAATGACAAGTCATGACTCATACACCACCTTGCTAACCCAAGCTCTGTTTGACATAGTTAAGAATACTTACAAGGGAGGTTTTGAAGGAGATGTTTTATTTCTCCATGATCTCAAGATACAGAATAAATGCTGGACAAGATTCTTAAATGCTTTCCTGAATATAAAATGTTACTCAATTCAAAAGTGATAGACCATGTCCTTTTTTTCTCACTTTCCCTGTGACTGTTTTACTCAATGTAAGCATTCTTTGACTTTATAGTTAATTGAGAAATTGAAGCTAATTTTAATGGAAACCCCTTTGTATGAGTTGGAAGATAAAACTATAAAACAATACCAAGGGTCAATTCTACAACTGCAGGAGCTCCTTCATCTGAAGTTTAATGTGGCTACAGAAATACTTCTCAGGGTGAGTGTGATTTTGCTAACATTATTAAATTTTGAGCCTGAATTTTTATCCTGAATAATAGTACCATATTGTTATTCTTTGAAACATTAAGTTTATGGGACAGCTAGAATTTAAGACACATAGATTTATCCAGATCTAACAACTGTTAGTGTTTTATTTTTTAAAAAACAAAACAGTATCAGTATACATTCTAGTTTTTCTTTTTTCTTTTTTAAAGATGTTTATTTGAGAGAATTAGAGAGAGAGAGAGAGAGAGAGAGAGCCTCCATTCTATGGTTTGCTGCCCAGATGGCTGCAATGGCCAGGGCTGGGTTAGGCCAGAGTCAGCAGCCAGGAGCTTCCTGCAGGTCTCCTACATGGGTGGCAGGGATACAAGTACTTGGGCCGTCTTCTGCTGCTTTCCCAGGCACATTAGCAGGGAGCTGAATCAGAAGTGGAGTAGCCGGGACTTGAACCATAACCCATATGGGATGCCGGTACTGCAGGCAGTGGCCCTACCCGCTATGCCACAGTGCCAGCCCCACATCCTAGTTTTTCTAATACTTGCCAAGATTTACTAAGTGCATTATGAAAACAAATTTACAAAACATAAATTATATAATCACTCTAGATAGATCAATTATCTCAAAATCACAGTTATTGGGGTTTTTTTCTTTAACATTTTATTTTGGAAAACTGTATTCAGAAGTGAAGTTAAAATAATAGTGCTGTGAAGCCCCATAGTCCTTCCATCTAGGTTTGATGGCCTTTAGCTTTGTTGACTATCATTGATACACAAAAATCAGTTGTTATATTGTAATATTTTATGTTTATATGTTTCCCTTATTATTTGAAAATTGTCAGTATTATGACACTTCAACCCCAAATACCTCAGTTCTACTGATCAAATTTGATTTGATCTAATGACTAGATTTGATCTAATGATCAAATAGCCATAACATCAAAATTATATGTAATAAAATAACAATTTCATAATTTCTTTTAGTATCTAGTTTGTATTCATATTTCCTCTAATTTTCTATGAATGTCTTTTGTAGTTGGATATATTGTATTTCTTTTTTTAAAGATTTATCTGTTTGAGTTATTTGTCTATATGAAAGCATTATAGAGAAAGGTAGAGGCAGAGAAGAGAGAGAAAGGTCTTCCATTCTCTGGCCCACTCCCCAAAAGGCCACAATGGCTGGAGCTGAGCCCATCTGAAGCCAGGAGCTTCTTCAGGGTTTCCCACGCAGGCTCAGGGGACCACATATCCGAGCCACCCTATACTGCCTTCCCAGGTACACCAGCAGAGAGTTGGAATTGAAGTGGAGCAGCCAGCACTTGAACGGGTGCCTGTATGGGATGCTGATGCTATAGGCCATGGCTCTAACCGCTGTACCACAGCACTGGCCCTGTTTGCTCTGGTTTTAAAATAAGAAAATAATCTACAGTCATAGATTGCTTTTTGATATTTATCTGTGAGTTTCTTTTGGCCTAGAACAGTCTGTTGTATTTTTCTTAATCTTTTAAAAAATTTATTTAAGGTATGCAAATTCCATGTATTTCATGTATACAGACTTAGGAACATAGTGAGGGTTCCTACCCTACCCTCCCTTCCACCCACACTCCCACCCTTCTTCCTCCTTCCTCTCCTAATCCCTCTCTTGATCTAGTTTGTTTGCTTTATACTTACTTATAAGATTAACCATACACTAATTAAAGAGTTCAGCAAGTAGAAGAAAAAAAAAAACCGCTGTTCAGGGCTATAAACAATCATCAAAGCTCAAAATGGCAATTTCAGTCTTGCGCATTACGTTTTTGGCAAAACATGGTCTTTGTATAGCTTAGAATGTGTTCTAACTGGGGCCATTATTGTGTTGCAGCTTCCCAAATGGGTATAGCCACTGCTTACAATGCTGGCCTCCCATATGGATGCCAGTTCACATCCTGGCTGCCTCACCTCTGGTCCAGCTTCCTGCTGTGGAAGAAGGTCCAAGTGCCTGGGCCCCTGCCACCCATGTGGGAAACCTGAATAGAGTTCCAGGCTCCTGGCTTTGACCTGGGCCAGCCCCAGCCATTGTGGCCATTTGGGGCATGAACCAATGGATAGAAGATTGGTCTTTCTCCCTCTCTATAACTCTGCCTTTCAAATAAATAAATCTTTAAACAGCAACAACAAAGTTCTAATTATAAAAGTACTGCAAAAAGGCTTCACTAAGCTTATTACTGTATTATAGCTTTGCAACTATGTAATGTACATTGTAGACAAAGACAATGAAGAAATATATTAGAGCCGGCGCCGCGGCTCAATAGGCTAATCCTCCACCTCTGGCGCCGGCACACTGGGTTCTAGTCCCGGTTGGGGCGCTGGATTCTGTCACAGTTGCCCCTCTTCCAGGCCAGCTCTCTGCTGTGGCCTGGGAGTGCAGTGGAGGATGGCCCAAGTGCTTGGGCCCTGCAACCCATGGGAGACCAGGAGAAGCACCTGGCTCCTGCCTTCGGATCAGCGTGGTGCACCAGCCACAGCGCGCCAGCCGTGGCAGCCATTGGAGGGTGAACCAATGGCAAAGGAAGACCTTTCTCTCTGTCTTTTTCACTGTCCACTCTGCCTGTCAAAAAAAAAATTTTTTTTTGGAATAGAGAGGTGTGAACCCTTTAACTAGTTTGGCTTTTTCAAGATTATTTTGGCCATTATGGACCCGTTGGACTTCCGTATGCCTTTTAGGATAATTGTAATTTCTGCAAAGAAAGCAGAACGGTCACAACAGAGATATTAGGATTATTAATCAAGATTGTAAGGATCAGCACCGAGGCATAGCAGTAAAGCCACCGTGTGCAGTGTTGGCATCCCATATGTGCACTGGTTCAAGTGCTAGCTGCTCCACCTCTGATCCAGCTCTCTGCTATGGCCTGGGAAAGCAGGGGAAGATGGCCCAAGTCTTTGGGCTCCTGCACCCATGTGGGAGACTTGGAAAGAAGCTCCTGGCTCCTGGCCTTGGATCGGCACAGCTCTGGCCTTTGCGGCGGATTGTGGCGTGAACCAGTGGATGGAAGACCTCTGTCTCTCTTTGTCTCTCCCTCTCTCTGTAAGTCTGCCCCTCAAATAAATAAATAAATCTTTAAAAATTTAAGTGGAACAGATACAGTAGAGAAAAGACTTCAACAATACTATAATGATAAATTTGAAACAAATATCTGTATGAATCAGGTTTCTGTCTGTTCCATAGAAAGGAGCCAGGACTATTTGGAATAAATGACCAATTCAAGGTCAGAGGCAAGAAAAGTGAACCGTGAGGCTGGATTATCTTAGTGTGCTGCAAAGCAAGTAAATGCTCAGAGACTAATAATAGGGTCATATCCAAGGGATGGGCACTAGCTCAATGAGGCTACCTTAACCAAATCTGGATTAATTTGAATATCAGAAAGAATAACGACATAATTAAAATGCAGTGAATGAATAAAAATTTTTCAGTCTATCAGATACTCCAAAAAGGAAGGGGGAAGTGGATTGTGGGGAGAGCAGCTATCACATTTTTTCAATCCCCAGTGTAGTAATTGCTTTAGAGAAGGTCCTCAGTGGTTACCTAAATGACTAGGTGAGAAGGTGAGGGACACATCAGTGACAGAGTGTCAGAGTGTTTGTCCTCAGTTTACTAATCACTTGGGGAAATGTACTGGCAATAGGGTCATGTGGTGGTCAGAACCTTCACCAAGTGCTCACCTCCCATAAGTAGTAGTGAGATACCATAGGCATTCTGATAGGAGGCGCTGTGAAGAACCTAACGGAGTGTATGTTGCTTTCCTGCTGAAAATGGTTGAGGTGAATCTAATTAAAAGCCCCTAGATCTTCCCAGGTGGGAAAATTAAGGGACTAAAGGAGAAAGTTAAACAATACCATGAGGAGAGAATCATACTAATCCACAATGGGGAATAGTTCACGAAACCGCTGTCCTGGACTTTTAAAAGTTACTATCACAGGCCGGCGCCACAGCTTACCAGGCTAATTGTCTGCCTGCGGCGCTGGTACTCCAGGTTCTAGTCCCAGTCGGGGCGCCGGATTCTGTCCCGGTTGCCCCTCTTCCAGTCCAGCTCTCTGCTGTGGCCCAGGAGGGCAGTGGAGGATGGCCCAAGTGCTTGGGCCCTGCACCCGCATGGGAGACCAGGAGGAAGCACCTGGCTCCTGGCTTCGGGTCGGCGCAGCGCTGGCTGTGGTGGCCATTTGGTGGGAGAACCAACGGAAGGAAGACCTTTCTCTCTCTCTTTCTCTCTCTCTCTAACTCTGCCTGTCCAAAAAAAAAAAAAAAAAGTTATTATTCAACCATGCTATGTTTTCTGTGATATCAACTTTTTAGAAAAATTGACAATATGTGTAACCTCCAAAAGTGTTTACCTAACAACTCTACACGTGCTGACCTATGCAGACCCTTTATGAGAGCTGATTTCTTGAGCTGCAGGCAGAAAACTAAGTAAGTGTTTATGTAATAATTCTTAAGACCGTTTCTTAAATTACATGTTTAATGTGTATGGAACTAGTAAAGCACTTAACTTACCGGGATCCTATAAACTGGATGTTTTGTTTCTAAACTTTATATTGAGAAATAGGCTAACTTTGACACTATCAACAGTTTTCATTTTAATAAGATGCAGGTAGGGAAGCATGTTGATGTGTAGAAAGAAAAACCTTGATTCTGATGTTAAAATTAAAGAGTGGTGTAATAGTATTCCACAGGTATTACTGGGGAGTGTAGGAACAACATTAATCCTTGGACATTTTAAGAGGAAAATGAGTGGAAAAGGACAAGCTGCATTTAATTAAGTAAATACACATGAATCCTTTGGAAACTTAAGTTCTATACTATTTTAACTGACCCTTTCTAACCCAAGATATTCTTCTAGGTGGTTAATGAAAGGAATCCAATATGTGGGTAATGCACTAACTTGTATAAATTGTGTAATGTATGAAGTCTCTGCCGTTTATTATGTTCTTTCTTTCTCACAGCACGCGAGTACTTTAGCAGATCTGGACAGTGGAAATATGGAAAGGATCATTCACGGGGAAAACCTCACGCTCTACATTTGGGCGAACCTCAAGAAGAATCCAAGGTACCACCTGGGTGACAGACTCCATCAGGTGGACAAACGTTCGCCTCCTGCATTTTGGGCAGGTTCCTGTTGAATTACAGTAGAGTGTTCTTGGAAGGCCCAGGTTAGGAAATTAGCCGGCTAGGGCTTGAGTCACAGACCTGCGGGCTGATGTTAGGCAGGTCAGTTAGTCTTGATGAGCTTTGGTGTGCCATCAGAAAAATGCTGTGTTACTTAGTAAGATTGAATTGAGGATTAAATATGCATAAAAAGTCATAGCACAGGGTCTAGTATAAAGATCAACTCAATGAATTTCACGTTTCCCCCTTCACTCATTGAACCCCTCTTCCTGCTGAAGGGGTAGAAGAAATGGTGGATGCTTTCCACTGAGCTATCTGGAATGCACTCTCTATATATATGAAACCCTATGAGCCAATAAAAATAACAGGCTTTCATGTGGTTGTATTTACACATTTAAGTGATAATTGCCCAATTGTCTTAAAGAACTACCTCTCTGAAGAATGATAGAAGTGACAAACCCATGATCATTTTGTTACAGCTTGACCTTAAACAACTCAAATCAGTTGAATTAGTGTGTCAGAGTTTTGGGGAAATGACTAGGCTACAAGTGAGGAAGCTTAGGTTTTGGTCCTGTCTCTGAAAAGACTAGTTACATGACATGGGACAAATGTGGACTTCATTGTTTATATTTATGAAAAGAAAGGAGAAAATTTTCCCCAAGTTCCATTTTCAAAGAAAATTACTCCGATCTCATCCTTGACAACAGCTTAGCCATTTTCCACTTTGAAACATACAGAAGATGAAATTAATCTCTGTATTTTTAAAAGAGTAAAAATAAAATAAGGACCTTTCTACTTACTGCCCCGGCTTAAAGAGTGAATTGGGTGGCATCTTTAACTGTGCAAAGCAGCCGTGGAAGCAGGACACGGTTTATTGTATTTTGATAGTGATGCCGATGGTGGTGGGAGTTTTGGGGATGAAGACTTCCAGGAGTGGGCTTGTAGAGTCTGAAGAACTTAGCAGCTCTCCGAGGCACTGAGAGAAATGGGGGGGTATATTTTGGGGAGTCATCAGCGTGTAGGCCAATGGCTTGTAAGTTTTAAGGGGTTAGAAATTCTTCTGAGCGTCAAATAATGACATTTGCTCACACATTTGGAAGGGCACTTTTGGACCTCATTGAGGCCATTCAGCAATGCCTCTTCTCTCTGATAAACCCTGATAATGTACGTAGCAAGTCAGCTGATGATATAATAAGATACAGAGAGAGGGTGTGTAGAGGGAGGAAAGAGACCGTTGAATGGAATACTGCGTAACATCAGTGCTTAAGGGAGGTTAGGAAGAGGCCACACAGAGGAGCTGCTGAAGTAGAAGAGAAGAGAGTGGGATGACTGATCCCAAGAGCTGTCTGAGAAGTAATGGGGTCCAGATGCTGCCAAGAAAGTCAGGACCCAAAACTGGGGCCAAATCAAAGTGGGAGAAGTACTGCTTAGGAATTTGAAGCAAAGCTAGAGTTCCCTAGGGTCTCATCCTTTTTGTAAAAATTAATCATTAACAGGCACAGAAGTGTCCGATTCTCTGAAACACAAATTGGCTTTGAAATTCCAAGGATATTAGCAGCAAGTGATATTGCTCTACGTCTCTTCCACACTCATTACGACCACATTACTCCCCTGCGCCCTATGCCACCACCACCCCCACTACCAGAAGAAGAAAATACTCCCACAGTACCTGAGATTGTCAAAGAGGAGGTGAAGGTTGTAGAAGAAGCCGTCAACCAAGAGGACCAAGAAGAGTCCAGGCAGCAAGAAAGTGAATCCAACTTAATTAATGAAGAAGAAGTAAGAGTTGAGGATCAGGGAGATCTTGTTCACGAAGTACGCACGGTAGGACACGTTCAGATGTATCTATCTTTGCTTCGTGTGACGATGTTTGTCATGTTTCCTGGAAGCATGCTCAGGCGGTTTCCCTGAACAGCTAGAAATTGTCTGAAAGCCCTTTCTTGCTAGTGCCTCATTATTTTTTTTCTTTAAAGGCAGAGGAGAGAGACAAGAAAGCTCCCATTGCAGATTCATTCCCCAAATTCCCACAGTAGCTGGGACTGGACCAGGCCGAAGCTAGAAGCTGGGAACTCTGCCCAGGTTTCCCATGTAGGTGGCAGGGACCTAATGACTTAAACCATCATCTGCTGCCTCATTGAGTGTGCATTATCAGGAAGCTGCAGTTGGAGGCAGAACCGGGACTCAAACCCCGGCACTGTGATACAGGATGCAGGCATTCCAAGCAGCGTCTAAATGATCATGTCAAATGCCTACCCCATATCAGTTTTTAATGTATGTCTTTTCTCTTGCCTCCCATTTACAGTCACTATTCAGGGTCAAGCCATTTGTTTCAACATCCAAAACTCTCTTACAGGAACTGATCATTTTTATATTAGCTACATTCCAGGAAATCTTTAAAACCATTTATTTTTTGTATATTGATGATCTCTTTCCTACTCAATGAAGGGAACTTGGCACTAACCAGAAACTTGCAGGAGACACTTTCTACACTGAAGTGGTGTATTATGTCACTGTGGTACTTCCTTAGCTGTAGGTTTTGTATGAAAGAATTTTATAAATTAAAAAATGATTTTCTTAAAATACTCTCCTCTCTGAAAAGCTTGATGTCTTTGGATATAACATATTAGTTGAGCAATTTAATAATCATATTCTTTGTTGGTTTCTTTTTCTATTGCTATAATTTTTAAGTTAGTATGTTAGAAAAATTCTCTTGAGGATTTTTAATATTTTATCATAATTAAGCAGCTTCTTTGTTCAGCTATAGAATTTTAGGAGGGACCCTACACATCAGGTTTTTTTTTTTTTTTCTTTTTCTTTTTTTGGACAGGCAGAGTTAGAGAGAGAGACAGAGAAAAAGGTCCTCCCTCCGCTGGTTCACCCCCTAAATGGCCGTGCCAATCTGAAGTCAGGAGCCAGGTGCCTCCTCCTGGTCTCCCATACGGGTGCAGGGCCCAGGACCTGGGCCATCCTCCACTGCCCTCCCGGGCCACAGCAGAGAGCTGGCCTGGAAGAGGGGCAACCAGGACAGAATCCAGCGCCCTGACCGGGACTAGAACCCGGTGTGCCGGCGCCGCAGGCGGAGGATTAGCCTAGTGAGCTAAATTAGATGAGTGTTTGTTTACTGATTCATTTTTTTTTCTTTAGAAAGGGTTAAGAATTAGAGTAAAAATTTGACGTAAAAATAATAATAAAGTATGAATTCTAAGAACATACATTATTGAAAATTTCCATTTTAAATATCATCCCAGCATCACAAATTATGAAGACTGTATAGCAGTGTAGAAAATGAATATCACATAATGCTAAGTACAAGTAGTAGTATTTACAGTATAATTATAACATGAAACATCTTAAAGGTGTAAGGGGAGGAGAAGCCATAAATTTGTGAGTAACTGATTTTATAAAGGTGTGAAATGGGTGATTTAGTCTTTTAAGAAGCAGACACTGGATTAAGCTACCATGTACAATGCCCTCGTCCCATAAGAGTGCTGGTTCGAGTCCCAGCTTCTTTGCTTCAGACCAAGCTCAGATCCTGCAAATATGTCTGGGAGGACAGTGGATGATGGCCCAAGTACTTAGGTCCTTGCTACTCATGTGGGAGTCCCAAATGGAGTTCCTGGCTCCTGACTTGGGTGTGGCCCAACCTCAGGTGTTTTAAGCATAGCAGGAGTAAACCAGCAGATAGACGATCTCTGTCTGGTTGCCTCTCTCTCTGTCACTCTGCCTGTTAAGTTAATTAAACATACCTTGTTTTAAAAAAATAATTTGGGCACAGTTGGTTAATCCTCCACCTGCAGTACTGGCATCCCATATGAGCACCGGTTCTAGTCGAGGCTGTTCCTCTTTCCATCCAGCTATGGCCTTGGAAAACAGTAGAGGAGGGCCCAAGTGCTTGGGGCCCTGCACCTGTGTGGGAGACCCAGAGGAGGCTTCTGGCTCTTGACTTTGAATCGGCCCAGCTCTGGCCATTGTGGCCATTTGGGGAGTAAATCAGTGGATGGAAGATACCTCTCTGTCTTTCCCTCCCATTGTCTGTAGTTCTACCTCTCAAACAAATAAAATCTTTAAAAAATCAGTTAATATTTTACACAAGAATTTCATCTGATTAACTTAAAATTGTGAAAGCATTGTTAGAAACCATTTAACTTGTACCACTATTGAATTTATATAAATAAAGCAATTCTTATGTGCTTATATCTCAGTTAAAGTGACCTAACAAGATATTCATTGTCTATCAGAAATTATTTATTATCATTTATGGAAATAGTTTTAAAAATAAAACAATATGGGGGCTGGTGCTATAGCATAGCAGGTAAAGCTGCCGCCTGGAATGCCAGCATCCCCTATGGGCGATGTGGGCATTGGTTCAAGTCCCTGCTGCTCCACTTCTGATCCAGCTCTCTGATATGGCCAGTAGAAGATGGCTCAAGTCCTGGGCCATGCACCCATGCGCTAGACCCAGAGGAAGCTCTGGCCTGTCGATTGTCCCAGCCCCGGCCATTGTGACCATTTAGGGAGTGAACAAGTGGATGGAAAGCCTCTCTTTATCTCTCTCTGCGCCTCTGCCTCTGTTATTCTGCCTTTCAAATAAATAAATCTTAAAACATTAGCATATGAATTTGCTACAATACCAAATGATACATTTATAAAATCTTCTGAAGATTTTGTAATAGATTTGTCATCTATTACAGTAAATATTTTCTTCACTTTTAGCCAGTGAGCCTGAAAAAGTTTCAAGCTAATCATTCCTCAGCTTGATTGACCCTGACCCTTATGTTTAAACCAAAGCTGGATATGGTTAATGTTGTATTGAACAATTCTAGCTTATGGTGAATAAAGGTACACTAATGCTTATATTGAAAATGCTATGTAAGCACACACACCAAGTAAAAACATTGTCCTGAATGCTAAAATAGTTTTACAGGATATTGAGGGCATCTTTGAATAGAGTAAAAATGGGCAGGTGACTAAGTGATACGGCAAGAGAAATTGCTTGCCTTGATGAAAGGTGAAATTTCTCCAGAACTTGAGAAGTTGGGTCAGTTACTGTGTGCCTGGTAGGTGGGGGGAGCTTAGTGCAGGAATTTTAGGGTATTAGGAAGTTTTAAAAGAGAAGGCAAAGTGGATCGAAGATGTATTTTAACTCTGTGTCACTGTCTCAGTCTGCCTTTGAAATAAAATTCAAACTGAAAAGGAGGAGCAGGGATTGTGATGCAATGGGTTAAACTTGTACCTGCAACATGGACATCCCGTGTGTGTACCAGTCTGAGTCCAGACTGCTCCGCTTCCAATCTAGCTCCCTAATAATGTGCCTGGGAGAGCAGTGAAAGATGACCCATGTGCTCGGGCCCCTGCACCCATGTGGGAAAGCAGGATGGGGTTCTAGGGTCCTGGCTTTGGCCTGACCTGGCTTTGGAGTAGCCAATTGCAGTATGAACCGTAGATGGAAGATCTCTTAGTCTATTTTTTTCTGTTTATGTCTGTAACTCTTTGTTTCAAATAAATCTTTAAAAATTTTAAAAAAAGCGAAAGTTAAATTGTCTCAGAATCCATACTTCCAAGAAGGGGTCTTGTCCCTCTCACCAAATAGGCGCGGATGTGTATGTGTGCTGTGATTCTTCCAGAACCCCACAGCATTCTGCAGAAGCTCATATGAACAATGCTGGAGTGTGTATCTTTCCCGAGATACAGACAAACCCCAGAGTAGCGGGAAGTGCACCTTGGCGGGAGGCGCATCTCCTCTTCTGAGGGAGCAGCAGGGTGGCACTGACTGCCGACCGAGAAGACTCCCCCAGCTCAGACTGTGTGTCACGCTAGGCAGGGGGGAACCAGAGAACCATCAGCTTGGTCTGCACTTGCCACATTGTGAACAACATGAGCCGTGTTGATTAAGTCTGAATAGACATGCACTGTGTTTAAATTTTTATGGGATATGGCGCAATTAATTTTTCCATTTCCTTTTCTTTGTGTTTGGAGCTTTCTAGCTCCTCTATTCCAGTTCTTTATATAATATGCAGTGATTGTGAACTGTTGTGCCACTTTGTGATGGCACACTAGAGTCAGTTACTGTCGTCTGACAGGGGCTTGGTGCCTGTCACGCAGTCTTCCTCTGTACTCCCTACCTCTACTTGTTCCAACCTCGAGTACTCACTATTCCAAGTTCAGATTACCTTTTTATTTTTTTTAACTTCTACATATGAGCAAGAATATGCAGTATTTGTCTTTGCTTGACTTATTTCACTTGACATAATGATCTATAGTTCCACACATTTTGCTGCAAATGCCAGATGTATTTCTTGTTATGGACTAATAATGCTCCATTTTGTATATTTGACATATTTTCTTTACTCAGCCTTCGATGAACATCCAAGATGATTTTATTGCTTGGTTATTGTGTATAATACAGCAGAGAACATGGAAATGCAGGAATTATTAAAAAAAAAAAGATTTATTTATTTTGGATGTCAGAGTTACAGAGAGAGATTACATCCTCTGGTGCATTTCCCAATTGGTTGCAACATCCAGGACTGGGCCAAGCCAAAACCAGGAGCTAGGAGCTTCTTTCATTTCTCCCAGGTGAGTGGCAGAGGCCCAGCTACTTGAGCTGTCCTCTTCTGCTTTTCCCAGGGCATTAGTAGAGAGCTGGATTGGAAGTAGAGCAGCCAGGACTCCAGTTGGTACCCAAATGGGATGTTGGCATCACAGGCAGTGGCTTAACCTGCTAGGCCACAACACTGGCCCCAGGTATCTCTTTGCTGTATAGATTTTATTTTCTTTAGATAGATACTCAGAAGTGAGACAGTTGGGTCCCACCAACAGTGTTT